ACCATCTTCTTCACCACTGAAAATCCACTGGATTTCAGTGGTGAAAAGAGCAATACAACAAAGCCAACAAGGCTTAAAGAAAAGGCACCAAAAGAGGCCAAAAGAGGCCTAAGAGGGGGAGTTCGACCCCCAATGCCAAAATGACCTCAATGAGATGTCTTAAGCATGAAAATATAAGACTTTTTTTAGTTATACACAAAGCTCAAATCAATATGCAAGATAGGTCAAAAGCCAATGCAAGATTGGGAAAATTAAAGTAAAGTGATTACCCTTGAAGAACCCTTGAAGGGTAATCACTTTACTTTAGTTTTCCCCAATCTTGCATTGGCTTTTGACCTATCTTGCTTTTTGTTTTAGGCTTTGTGTATAACTGAAAAAGCTTTGTATTTTCATGCTTAAGATATCTCATTGAGGTCATTTTGGCATTGGGGGTCGAACTCCCTCTCTTAGGCCTCTTTTGGCCTCTTTTGGTGCCTTTTCTTTAAGCCTTGTTGACTTTGTTGTATTGCTCTTTTCACCACTGAAATCTAGTGGATTTTCAGTGGTGAAGGAGATGGTTTGAGGTCTTGCATAGGGGAGGGACACCCCTCTCCCCTTTGTCTCTCTTTTATCCTTGTTTTTGGCTTAAAGGGCAACATGCATGCTTGACTGATTTTGGCCCTATTTCAGAGGTTTTTAGGTGTCTTTTGATCATAATATATCTCTATCTTTGGTCGGGCTTGTGGTCTTTTGCATGCATACTACCCTTGCTTTGTATCGCTCCCTTTTGCATAGAAATGCATCTTCTATTTAGGCTTCCATGCTTGCATGATTTAGCTTAGCTTGTTGAATCTTTCGGTCATGATTTGTCATGCTTAAGGTCTGTTGGCCACTGTTTTGGTCATGTTTGACATGCTTGATGTAGTTGCTTTGCATTTTGGCTTGTAGGCCTTGAGTATTTTGGCTTCTAGCATGCTTAACTTAGACTGTCCTCATGATTTGGCATTATTTAAGATCATATTTCAGTCCATGTAAGGTGGTCTTATATTGTCATTTGTGTCCCTTCCCATGCTTTAAGGTGTTGTAGTTTTATGCCTTGAAATGGGCATTGTGCATGCTTGTATGTTTAAGTCATTTTGGGGCTGCCATATTAGCGCGTTTTTGGGTGTATTTTGCTACGTTGAACATCTGTTTTTGGTCACTTAGTCCATGCCATGAGTGGTCATGATGATTGTAGTAGAATGCCCCTTGTTTGTGCCTTAGCTTTGGGCCCCTTTGGCTTGCATGTTGGCATGAGTGCTTGTACACCATTTTGGACACTTTTTGGTCACTGTTTTGGGATGGACTGAGGTCTGCCCTTCGTGGTTTAGCACCACCATTGCATGATCATGTTGCATTGTTTTGGTCCTAATGCTTACATTGTATCATACTTACATGTTGGCATGGCATTTATCTAGTTGCATCTCATATACATTGTACCATACTTGGCACATTTAGAATGCACTAACTTAGTTTGCATGTTTAGGTTGCATTACATTTGGTATGTTTTGCATTTTAACCTCACGTCGTGCATTTGAGCCAAGTTTGTATATATGCATTGCATTGCTTGGTTTGGGGTGTCAAACCGGGCATGGGGGGTTGAGGAGTGTTTGTACTTAAGTGAACAAAACACGCCTCAACCCTCGGTCGCCAATCCCCTTGACTCCAACATGATAGGGTGTTGCCCCTTGCGCGCGGCATCTCGCAAAAAAACTAAACGACCCTCGGCAACGGATATCTCAGCTCTCGCATCAATGAAGAATGTAGCAAAATGCGATACTTGTTGCGAATTGCAGAATCCCGCAAACCATCGAGCCTTTGAACGCAAGTTGCGCCTGAAGCCATTAGGTGGAGGGCACATCTGCCTAGGCGTCTCACGTTGTGTCGCCCGCGCCCCCTCAAAGGAAGGGCTACTGGCGGATGTTGGCCCCTCGCGAGCGCCCGCACGCGGTCGGCCCAAAAGCGAGTCCCCCGCAACGGATGACGCGTCGCAAAGAGTGGTGGTTGACAAACCGTTGCGTCGCCTCGCGCGCG